GTTGTAGCTCCGGTGGTATGAAACCAGTAAATTCCCAGTGGCTTTGTGAGTTGGTGATATCCAGCAATGCCTGTCTGTTGTATGTAAGCAGTGCATGACATTTGTGCACTGCAGAAAAAGCAAAAAACACACAAAGAAGAAAACTAAGAAAAAAATCGGCATTCAAGAGTGGAGCGTGCAAACACGTTCGCCTCGGTGGGTGCCATGTTGTCCCATGTTGCCTATTAATCAACCCTAGACCTAAACATAGTTATAACTCATTTGAAATAGATACCTTGAGTCTCTCACATGCAAACTGGAAAACTCTTGTGGTTCCTAGAATCCACAGAAGTAGAATGGGAGGCAGAGCCTTTAGCTATCAAGCTCCTCTCCTGTGGAACCAAGTTCCAGTCTCAGTTTTGGGAGGCAGACGCCCTCTCTACCTTTAAGACTAGACCTTCCCTTAGTGTGTATTGCATTCACAATGAGAAACTGTGAAAAAGACCTTAACCTCCATTGTATTCACATCTACATGGTGAAAACCAAGTTCTCTTAACATGGTTAAATTCAGACTTAAAACTGGGGTTTGTAATTTTTATAAAATATTTGCTGAAACTGTCATATTCTGGCAGTAACACAGGTATTCTGTGAAAACATCAGCTTCCTCTGGCTCCCCCTAGTGGCACAAAGTCCATCCATCCATCCATCCATTTCCTAAACCGCTTAGTCCCAAACGGGGTCACGGGGGGCTGGAGCCAATCCCAGCCAGCTGCGGGTGAAAGGCGGGGTACACCCTGGACAGGTCGCCAGCAAGCCACAAAGTCATCGATGTATAAAAAATCCACCATGTGTGAATGTTTTAAAATTCTTTAGTAATCTCTTTTTCAAGTCAGTTTTTCCCAAGTAAAAATTTCATTGTACAGGGAAACACGTTTCCTAACTGTGCATATGACAAATAAATACTTTGAACTGTAAGTTATGCAAACTATGTTTTTAATGTTAATCATTTATAAAAGATGCATTCATGTTATTTCTTTTTAAAAGTAAATGTGCTCCTAAATGTTTTCATTTAAATAGCCCACACCATGCTTTTCCTTATTTTTGACTTATCTACAATGTTACAACGGCGAATTATCATCTTAGATGTGACCTAAAGCTAAAAAAATGAGGTGTATGTATGTTCTGGTATTTCTTTGCAGAAGCAACTCGGTATATACACGTCTCGTAAACTCTGTCTAGCAAGACTTTTTTTCCTGACAAAATAAAGTATTAAGGATTTCCTTGAATAGGCATAATCTCCAGGCCGTTCTGCATTCATGTGAGCTTGCCTGACATCCACCGGTGCCATTGTAAAAGCATAATTATTTGACTGCACCTGGTTTTGTGGATACATTTTCCCTCCTGCTGCTGCACTGTGACCAGAGGATGTGGAGTAAAATACAGAGCCTGAGGTTACTGCATGTCCAGAAATGTTCCTGTACAGGGACTCATTGTTTTATGTGACTGGGTCTAACCTACAAGCAGCCGGACTGTGAAGCCCCTGTTGTGGTTAGTGATCAGCTGATCAACACTGGATTCCCCCGGAGCACAGTACCTGTTTGTTCTGACACCTTGAGGTCAATGTGTCTGCAGCATGTCATGTGTTGCTGATTAACCAGTGGATTAACAACCCATGATGTTATTGTCGGTGCTACGCTACCTATTGGAATTAGTTTCACCACTTTGGGACTGTATGTGGTCGTGTGGGGGAAGACACAGTGACCACCAGTTAGGTTTACCGACCTTGGAGCTACTTGAAAGGAAGCAATGTTTCCACTACTTGGTGGGACTTAAAGGTAAATTTAAAAAACACACGTTGCATGTCTGTTAATGCCTTGTTTCTGTAACGTTAGAGAGAATAGTTGTAAGGCTGGAGAAGTTACTATGTCTGAATTATGCCAGTTAAAACATGGACTTTCTCAGTTACCTGCTTTGTTTAGAGTGTTACACATCTGTTTTCATCTGTACATATACCATTGTTTACCCATCTATGGAGGAGAAATTCATATTAATGCCTTTGAGCTGTCCACATGCAACACAGCACCAGCAGGAGTTGTGCGTGGTGACGTTTTTAGGAAGAGGTTCTCTAGTTTTCGCATCTCATTTTCTATACCGCTTAGTCCCGAATTGGGTCGCGGGGAGGCCTACTCCTACGGGGAATTTAGAGTCACCAATCAACCTAAGCCGCATGTCTTTGGACAGTGGGAGGAAGCCGGAGTACCCGGAGAGAACCCACGCAAGCACGGCAAACTCCGCACAGAAAGGTCACGAACCCGGAACCTTCTCGCTGTGAGGCAACAGCGCTACCTACCGTGCTGCCCCCACTCTCTGGTTTTATCATTCTGAAATCATTACAGACTGTGACTTTGGCGTTATGGTGGGTGTCAAGCTAATCTAGAGGTACCCAAGATTAAACATTAAATGGCTGGAAACGAGCAAAATGAGTAGCCATGGGGACTTTAAGGGCACAAATCCCCCTAAAAATAAACCTTAGTGTAGAGCCCTGTTTAAGCGCGCCCACCACCATATAGCTACACAACACAAAAACCGTTTTCCCACATCAATGTTAATACAGCTTTGGCTCTGAGCTACCTTTACTCTCCTGATTTCCTCTCTCACAGTTATGTCCTACACTATCCGTGTCCTGCACAAGTCTACAGACACCCGACTCACGTTGGTCATCCTGGTGCGTCAGCGCTTTCTGCAGGGTCCAGTTGTGTTTCTGTAAGAGGGGAGAAGTGAGCAGTCACGAACTGTTTCCAGACATCTAGTCAGATACAGCGACGGCTGGAGTCTCAACCTGGCGACACAGACAAACGGAAGAAAATGTTACGTTTTTAGCTTAAGCTACAGGTGTCTTACATAATTCCAGGCTCTAACATAGGTAAACCAAATAATTTCTGACAGATTATAAATTTCTTCTATGACTATATTACTATCATTATGTTACATAACGTTACCGTATTTAGACAGCCGTTACCACAACAAAAGCAAACGTCCTTAATATTCAGACAGGTTCACCTAAACACCCCGGTTTCACGTGAACACCGGACGAGCTTTTAGTCAGCACCGTAACATTTGCTATTGTAGAATAACGAAAAGATTCAAACTAGTTGCATTAATTAGCGGCCATTATTCACAACTAACTTCAAAGACGGTATGTGACACTGTAGTGCAGATGTTACTAAAAAGGAAATAATTTACAGGTCAAGAGTAGCTCAACAGTAATACTCCTCCATGCTAGCATCACCTTGAACTCGCACATGCGCTGTTATGATGATGGATCGTTTCCTTGGACGGATGGTAGACGACAGTGATCATTACCGCCACCACTGGTCCGGAGGTTGAAGGGTTGTTCTTGTTCTTGTTCTTCCTTATAATGGCGGTTGGCAAACATCTTTAGGTTCCTTAAGACAGGTACTTTGAATATAATTCAAATGATAAAGAAAATCACTAATAAAGATCACTAATATAAGGAAAACCAAACAAATCCCTCATCAGACTCCTAAAGATCTGACAGGAGTTTATAATCAGGAATTACTTCATGTAATGCCACCTGTACTTACATTTTCAGTTTGCACATGCATAATTGCACATCCATTAGCTGATTGTAGCATATATTCTTATTACATTGTTATTATATTTTTCACTTGCTGTTTTAAAGTGCCTTTATTTTGTATTACTATTTATCTATTTTATTGTATATTTAGATTTTCATATTGTTCGGCATTCATTGTGGACGCAAAGTAAGAATTTCATTGTGCAGGGGAACATGTTTCCTTACTGTACATATGACAATAAACACTTTGACTTTGGCTTTGAGCATACTCGGCGACAGTGGGGAGGGAAGGGCACAGCACCAAGAAGACACAGCAGAGGATGTACTTCCTGCGCCAGCTCAGGAAGTTCGACCTGCCCCAGGAGCTGCTGATCCAGTTCTACAGAGGAATCATCCAGTCTGTTCTCTGCACCTCCATCACTGTCTGGTTTGGCTCAGCAACCAAACAGGACAAGTACAGACTTCAGCGGACAGTCAGGACTGTAGAAAAGGTCATTGGTGTGAGCCTGTCCTCCATGGAGGACCTGTACACCTCATGGGTCAAAAGGAGGATGGAGAGGATCACTGCTGACCCTCTGGACGGCGTTACAGGTCACTGTGCACCAAGACAACCAGGCACAGAGACAGTTTCTTCCCCCTGGCTGTCGCTCTGATGAACACTTAACCAATGACCATATCACTGGACAATAAACCTCAGTGCAATACCTGTATATAATCATTGTACGGATTATACAGACTTGTACAGGTCTCTAGTACTCTGTTTTAAGTACTCTATTTTTATCCCTATTTATCTCATTTCAAAGAACATTCCTTTGTTGTCTGCATTGTTACTTTCTGTTTATACTGCTTTTTCTGCATTGTTTGCACTTTGTTGCTTGTAAATACTGCTTATTTTTGTTATATTACACAGCCTTATTCTGGTTTACTCTTTTGCACATTGAGAGCCGATGTACCAGAGTCAAATTCCTTGTGTGTCCAACACACCTGGCCAATAAAGCAGATTCTGATTCTGACATTATAGACCACAATAAGGTATGAGCAGCATCCCTTAGCTCAAGGAGGAAAAAACCAAACACAAGTAGTCTAGGGTCACAGCAGAGCTGAGTAGTATCTGCATAAAACACATTTATGTGCACCATAATGGTTTATATGCTGCAGTGTACCAACATAAAAAACAAACCCATCTTAAACAATGTTTCTATTCCACCCTACTAACTGCCTCAGTATCATAATTTTCTATACATTGTACTCTGATTACAGCTTTGCACTTTGTCATGTCTTAACCCATTCTTATATGTATAAATTGTGTTATTGTAGGGGATGCTGCAATTCGAGTAGATGTGACATGTCCTTCACTGCCAGGTTAATAGGTTTTTCGTCCTATTGAGGGCAGCATTACACCTTGTGGTTTACAGCCTACCGGAAATCTACCAGAAGAAGAAGAAGAGGTGAGAGGGCAAATGCCTGGAGGATATAGAAGTGGCTCCACGTGAATCAGTTGGAGAATGGCGTCGACTCAGGAGCCAGAGGTCCAGTTTGCACAGAGATTAGCCTCCAACGAGAGGCCAATCCGGATGAAGGCTTTGAAGAAACTGAGGAAATATATAAATGTCAGGTCTCAGAAAGTTACAGGTAAGCTAGCCCGTTTGCATTTGCTGGCTAGCCCTGGCTTGCTACGACAACTCAAACACAGGCTAAACATTAAGCTAGTACATTATTAATATTGCTGACTGTAACTAATCATGGAGGTTTTAATCAAAATTACATGTTTGAAAAATAGCTGGTCCCGGTCTGTCGCACTTTTTAGTGTTATTAAATGAAGCCGTACCGTTAGCTAGTGCACATGTGTGGAGGTACGTCTAGCGTTACTGGTAAGTTATTACGTTTTGGTCCAAAGGTATTTTTTTTTCTAGGTAGTTGCTATCCACTTTTACACAGATCGCGGAAAACTGCCGGTCTTGTCCCCGTCAGGATGTTTTCCTTTGTTAAAACTGTTTCTAGGGGCGCCCCCTCAATGGTTAGGTTAAGATAAGGTATGGTTTCATGTTACGGGAAGTACATCTCTACGGGGAAACAGATTATGACAATGGAAGTCTGGTACTAGAGGCATGATGCTGATCATGGCCATCGAGTGTATATAAAAGGTGAACAGACCCACTGTGACAGCACCTATTGATTTTCTGAAGGATGGTTTCGAAGCTCAAATCTGGCTTTCGCCATATTGGCAACACTACACTGCCTTTATGCCTAATCCAAAAAAGGGCAATGAGGTGGAGCATAGGTGGACCACCACGAAGTGATGCAGAATCCTACAATAAAGTAGTGTTTTTCAGTATTAACATGATTAAATGAAAATTGAATTGTGGGTTTTTATGTGTTCAATCTGTATGCTATTTTGAAAACACCAAAAATCTCCTACAGTATATTGAATTTGGATTTTTCTGGGAAAACTGGATATATATAATATATACATACACACACACACACACATACACTGTCATGGCCAAAAATATTGGTACAGCTCCATTTTTGTCTGGTAACACTATTTCTCTCAGATTATTTTTAAATCACAAATTCTTTGGTATTCTCAGGTTTATTTCTTTTGTTTGCACTGGAACAACACAAAAAGCAGAGGGGAAAAAAAAGCCAAACCTGGTACCTTCTACAGAAAACTCCAAAAATGGACAAAACAGATTTATTGCCACCCTCAGCGTAATATTTGGTAGCACATCCTTTGGATAGAATACCTGTAATCAGTCATTCCCTGTAACCATAAGTGATTTCTTTTTTTTTTCTTTCTTAAACCTCTCTTGGAATTCTGGGCCTCTCTCCTTTTGCCACCTGCTCCAGGTCTCTCAGATGTGAAGGGTTCCTTCCCCCAGCTGCTGTTCTGAGATCTCTCCACAGGAGCTCTATGGGATTTAGACCTAGACTCATTGCTGGCCACTTCACAACTCTCCAGCTCATTGTCTGAAACCATTTCTGGTGCTTGTTGAAGTCTGCTTTGGGCCATTGTCGTGTTGCCAGTCCCATGACCTCTGACAGAGACCCAGCTTTCGGACACTGGGGCCTAAGTTGTGCCCCAGAATTCACTGGTAGTCTTCAGATTTCATAAAGCCACACAAACAGTCAGGACATCCAGTGACTGAAGCAGCAGAGCAATCCCAAAACATCAGTGAACCTCCATCATGTTTGACTGTAGGGACATGTTCTTTTCTTTGAAGGCCTCATTATGTTTTCTGAAAACAGCAGAATGATGTGCTTGATCAAAAGGCTCTATTCCAGAAGGACTGTCTTCCTCAGGTCAGTTTTGGCAAACTCCAGTCTGGCTGTTTTATGTCTCTGGGTCAGCAGTGGGTCTCCTACCGTAGCATCCCTCGTCATTCAGATGGTGACAGATAGTGAGCTGACACTGTTGCACCCTGTGCCTACAGGTCAGCTTGGGTTTGTTTGGAAGTTGGCTGAGGTTCTTTATCCACCATTCAAACAATCATTCATTATAATCTGTCATCTATTCTTCTCTTTCGTCCACGCCCAGGGAGATTAGCTACAGCACCATGGGCTGTAAACGTCTTGCCCACAGTGGACACAGTAACAGTCAGATCTCGGACTTGGGGCCTTGAGACTGTCCAGGCTTTTCCACTACGTGCTTCCCAGGTCTCCAGCTAATTCTTTGCTCTTCTTTCTTTTCTCCATTTTAT